CACAGGTCACTTGGTTACAACAACAGCACGGAACGCTGGGGATTCCGGTTTAAGTACTAACCGTGTTGTATTTTTTTTTTCAATATAAAACCGATTTATGAATTTCAATTATGCAGTATTTGCTGCAAATATAATTTGACTGTTAAACAATGGTGTCATAATTCAAATAGAGATTATATCTATATCTGTATCGAATTAAAATAATGTTAATACGAATGCGTCGAAAGCGCTACCTGGAATTCGAAATTCAAACACGGTGTTGTTTTTCCATCGAATATTATTTATGGAGACGTGGATAACACTGTGGCATCAGTGACACCTGATGCGATGAATATCTGGCCGCGTCGTCCGCGGGTGGTCCCGTCATATCGCGAACGCTAACGAATTGTAAATATTCACATGTGAATAGTTTTATTTGCTTTATCAGTTTTCAATCAGAAAAACACGTTAAAAAAGCTACTATAGCAAAACTACTTATTGCCAGCAAGTAACTACTAATGTACGATGCGTTATATACAAATAAAAAAGAAATACTATTTAACTTAGACCGCATCTGTAGGCAGATGGCTGAACGCGTTTCCTAGCCTTGTGTTAACCGAGAGAGGTTGTAATCCCGGGCAAACAAGAGATTGTTTCGATTGAGCACGGCGCACAAGTCTGTGAATAAGATCGATCAGTGAAACGGACAAAACATTTATTTTTTTAAACATAAAAACATGAATGAGATCATATTGAAATGAAATCATTAGAATATATTGCATCTGCCTATTTAGCCTCGTAAAGCAACCTTGGCGTTAGAATTCTTAACACTTGTATGAGCAATACTTGTTCTAAAGATAATATAAACATCGTTACGTAAATTGTATTTGCAGACTATTTTATAATTCGTGAATCTTATTTGTACTATAATTCTCGATTTCGCATTTTAAACTCTTCAAAATGTTTTATTAAATGTATATCATTCGCGCACAATATACACGGTGGCCCAATATACAATATACACACACAAGAATTCATTTTGTATTTTTAAAAAGTAATAAAACAGACAAAGCATTTTGCTTAAGCAACGTTTTCTCCTGAAGAAATCTTTATGAATATGATATGAAGGCAGCTACATAAAGTAGTAACTAGTTGGTAGAGTCTCCGAACCTCTGACCTTTAGCGAATATTTTAAATTATTCAGTTTTAGCTCTCGCTGAAGCAAATTTCGTCCTATTGCTTTTATTAACTTTAGGTGCTGTCATTTTATTTCAAATTAGAAACTAAATGTGTAACGAAAGTTTGTATTTAAGATTGAAAAAGATTAGGATTGGTAGCGTAACATGATGAAACAAATTAAAACTAGAAATCTATTTAAATCGAAAAAAATTACTATTTTAAGTAGATTTTTAATTTATATAACGCTATCAAGTGCATAACATATGAAAAATGTTAAATTTATCAAATGGTGAACGCTTTGACTACATATTGTTGTTTTCTAATATTCTATATTTTGTTTTAAAAGCTAATGCAGGAAATTGTCTAAATTTAATAACATTAAATTAATTAAAAAAAGAGAATGCGTGTCATTAAAAAAGGACAGAAAAGCACCCTTGACTGACACAAACGAACAGTTACGTTGATGAAGGTGAAAAATGGAACGGGGGTGTGTACAATCAGCAACAAAATGGGTCAATCAACGCTAGGAATTTCAGCACAAGTTACGGAGAATTTCTATTGCATTTGAAACACTTGGAACTAAATTTTGTATTTATCCTATGTTTGGACTTTACTCCACTTGAGATTTAACAGTAAAACACGAGAATATCTGGTAAGTGTATTGAGTTGGTTTGAAGGGCTTGGTATTCTAATGGTAGCGAAGGCAACCAATGGCGAATTATCATGGCTCGATTCCCCCCGGGTCCAAGAAGTTTCTAATCAATTTAGAAGTCTTCTGAAACAGAAATCTGGATATTAAATGGATGGTAGCAGTATCGAAATTCCTTCCGGGTCACGAACCACCGCGCCATCCACCGATGTAAAAAACCGTAAACTTTAATCGCATTTCGCCTGCAGTCTGTGGGTTTCCGAATTTAAAAGCCAAATTAGATCGCAAACTCATCTTGTAAGGATGTTGTGTGGTTTGAGCACCCTACCATCAAGTGAAATCTTGTGTCCCTCTTCTATCATTGTATTTATGTACGTATTTATTAATACTAGCCATGATGGACTGCGGTTAGAATACATACGTTAATCGACACATTAGCACATCGGAAGAAGGTCTTCAGTCGAATAGTTACTCATGAACACAATTGCCCCATTACCGGGTAGGGGTCATTACGTATTAAGGACTTCCCCTTTACAACAAGGGACATAAAAACAACATTGGTAAAAGCCTTTGAACATATAATATGTTAATAGTAAATTTATTAATATATGTATTTCCATATAACATTTTTATATAATTCTATCCCTAGTGGTTTACTAGACCCTTACACTTCCTTGGTCAGAAGGGCCTAATTTACTATTCCTTCATTACTACTTATTATAATACAATCCTACGTTAGTCATTAATTGATATTTGATAGTATTGATACTTTTATTTTTTAACAGAAGCCAATGGTGTAAACACGTAGCAGAAAACCTTCAGCAATCATTCTCTCAAGACCGAGATAAGTGATTCACAAAAGTGGACTTTATTCGCGAATTAAATTGTAAGAAATGATAGCAATCAGCGCATGGTATGTTGGCATTGATCGTTAATTTTAGTAAGGCTGCGGTTTCCTATAAACGCGAAAGGATACATGTCTTTGTTGTCTTCAACGCACAGTGACGGTGAATTTGCATTTTTCTTTTTTTATGATAGATAACCACTTGATAGTAGGTAAAATACCCCAGCCATATAACATTTAAACAAGATGCTCTGTCCAACTATTTTGGCTTTGGATATTCGGAAATCTACAAACTGAAACCGAAATTAGATGAAACTTGACGGCTCTTTCATCTATGGACGCTGGTTCTCGGCTCGCATAACATTTAGGTATGGGTGGTAAGATCCATTTAATATGCAGATGTCCAAACAAAATCAAAGATGCTTCAGGAAAACAGTTGGACTTTGTCTCATTCGTTGTCTGTGCCTATTTTAAAATCAATACAGATATCAAATTTGGCACATGAAGTATTATCTGTGGGTTACTGTTGTCCAGTAGTAGTTGTCTTTTGCATAAGTTTGTAAGCATCTTGTCGCGGCATAGCGCATCGCGATGTATGCCATCTACAGCGTTTATATCAGACCGCAGCCTAGGAGAGCAGTATTCGTGGAGTTAAATAAAACGCCCGATTTTCACACATACTCGTTACATTGTATACAGGACCACTAAGTTAAATATCTCTGTATTGTGAATAACTCAATACCAGTCAGTAAATTAAATTAATATGCTGCGCGCGTTGTTAAATATATTTTATTATGTTTTGCATTATGAAACGTCCAACAAATGACATCATTTGTCATACAGATACATTAATTAAAGCGACTGGTATTGAATACAAACGAATCGCAAAATTGTCATATAAGATTGACAAGTTTAAGTAATATTATAGGTTTTATTTTTGCTCTATACAATGCCTAGTCTGAGGAAAACACGTTGACGGGTTAGAGGTCTCAAAATAGGAAAAAAAATAACCAGGCATGACTCGAACCCACACTGTTGAAGTATGTATTAAACTCTTTATTACGCACATTGTGCGTTACTTCAGTTCAAAGTAAATATTTTGTCAAGGCATATATTATGGAGCAATAACCCCACGTTGAGTCACTAGCCCTTAAGTACAAAGGGACATTAGAGAAACAGCGGGAAGTGGCATAGCTGACCATACCACCAGTACTAGACCAGTCGCTTATGATTTACGACCAGTTAACGCAAATATAGTGCCCGAGTACAATCCTATAGCAATCCTTGGTCCTTGTACTCTCAAGAACTGAACTTCAAATAGTAAAATACAACCGTTTAAATAAAACACGTTTAACGGTTTGAAACAAGAAACATATTAGTTAAATGATTGATATTTTATTTAACTATGCCCCGACGTTCGTTTTAAATATGATATGAACTGTGTAACTACACGCGTAAACTACAGACAATACTTAATACAACAGTGTTACAAATGTTTCCCTCGATAATGGAAGTAATTAATATTGATAACTGTACAAAAACTTATCTCTTAAAAAAAATCCTTAATTTTTTTAAAGACATATGCTTTTAGTAATAAAATTTTCCGTAAATACGAATTTTAAATAAAACTATAATTTCATATCTAGTCTGAACTGAGACTATATAAAACTTTTTAGTTTATAATTATAATAAATAAAATAAAATTTATATGAACTTAATCTAGGGTTAATCATATTATAGAATATTTGATGTATATGTGTGCCTACTATTTATTATGTATGATATGACTGTAGATTAGATAGTCAATAAATTATCTTAGGCCCGTTATACAGAGATCAAGACGCGAAGGATTTATTTGCTAATATTGTCATATATACATCATCTAAGTGGTTATTTTCTAACGATTTCCCTTGTTAGTTTATTATAGGAAAATATTCGATTTCTTTATAGTTTTCTATACCTAACTACTAATTATTCTGTAATCGCTTGCTTCGTATAAGTTACTAGGTGTACCCACGACATTGGGCACGTCCCGTCGTTCTTGATCGTAAAGATAGGCATAGACTATCGCGTAACATTTAAAGAGGAATCATTCTTTAACACATATTTAGCACCTATTAATCGCGTGATATTATATAGTCTAAAGCCTTCCTCAATAAATGGTCAAACTAAGATAAGAATATTTTTTCCATCCGAACCAATAGTTCCTGAGATCAGCACTTTGAAACAAATAAACATACAAACTCAGCAATATGGAGGTGCAAAGAAGAAAAGGTTTTTATAATATAGATTTTGTATACATATATACATATGTATGTTATTTTAACGAAAAGATTTAGAGGGGCTTACCTTTTCTCTGACTGTAATGGTGTCGTAAATGCCATTCTGATCTTCTTGTCGTGGATCAGGCGAATTAACTGCGGATTGCTTCACAGGTTCGGCTCTGGTAACTGCTGGCGATCGGGATATCGGGTCTCCATTTCTCGTCCATGTTCTATGAATTTGCCAGCTGGTGTCTGTAAATCTAGCCTTGTCCTGAAACAACCGAAGTTTCTTGGTTTTATTAAGCTTTTTTGAGGGACAGTATAAAGTCGTTGTTAATTTTGACTTTTTTGACATATTAATTGAAATATTCTAATATTTCAATTAATATGTCAAAAAAGTTTAGAAACTTAAATCGTTCTTTTAACTATTAGTAGTTAAGCCTCGCAACTTTGTAGGATATCTAGGATTGAAGATGCTAGTTGGCAGATGGCCATGGGTTCTTCGAGTTGTTTGACTATCCAAGGCGAATTTAATTTCCTCATCACGTTTTAACACTACGAAAGACAAGTTCGCAATACTAAACACATCCGTTTATTAGATCCACCGATACCGTAATACAAGCCCATTCGTCCATTATAAAGAAATTCATACAAATAGATTATGTCAACAACCGTACAGGGGTGACATATGATAAAAAAAATAATGGGAGATAAAGGTAATAAGGTATCAAGGTAGGGTAGGTTTGGTACACAATAGGAACCAAAACAATTATTTTTGAAAAGCTTTATCTGCTCGTTTGTGTTTTTCTACACTTTCAGAAACGGCTCTTCTGATCTAGATGTGTCTTTCAATATATTGTGGTAAGTTCTACTTAGTAATCATACTTTTAAAACATCCATGTTTGTTAATTTGTAAATTTTATCCATAGGCGTTAGGCGACATAATCTAGTAAGGTAAATAAATATAAAGATAAAAAAAGCTCTTTGTAACATTTTGGGCTTGGTTCATGTCAATCAGTTCATAATAGAACAGTAATGCTAATTTAAAGATACTTTACGTTTGCAGATGCGGATATATACAGCGCGGTATATAATTATTTTATCATAGTTGACAAATTAGTTTATATATAAAATGTTGCATTGCTTTGATATAAGTTACATATAATCGATAACAGAAATTAGATTTCTCTTCTTCGTATTCAACCATGCTACATAAAGTCTCCAATCCACTCAGATGAAGTCGCGGGCACAGCTATTAGGAAATATGTTTCTTAAGCATTTCATAAATTATCACGTATATATACTATATTAAAATAAAAGGCGATCTCTTCTGTAGAAAAAAGTAACCATTAACATTTAACATAATTATAAGTCGCTTTAATAATTATATTATCGATTAGTATGAGCAATCTTTGCTGTATCTACAATTCAAATATAGCAAACGCACATAAGAGATAATTATTAAACAAACCGAGCAAGAAAATGTTTCATTGTTAATGACACTTCATTAAATTCTCTTTAGTGTTCCCATTTCAGTGTTTAAGACCATTTAGTATGCTCAAGGTGAAGCGAAATCCATACAGAGTACATATAATGCATATCTGATAACGATCGTCTCAGTAACCCTTTGGTTCCCCAGCCTTGAGTAAACGCTGGAGGTCTCGGGTTCAAATCTCTGGGAAGTAAAAACAACATTTTGATGACTAATGTTATATATAGTAAAAACTATTTTTATTGCGTGTCCGTCCCATACGCCATGCGGGAAAACAGTATTTACTGCTATATTCTATAATAGCTATAAGCTATAGAAACAATTTAAGAGATTTTGTTTTTAACATTACTTAAGTTTTAAAATGTAATTACATACTGTCTATAGTGTACGCGAGTAGTACACATTTAAATAAAAGACTAACGGTTTAAAACGCGATATATTAGTTAAACTTAACTAAAAAAAGTTTATTTGAAAATGGTATTTTTAACTTCGTCATTACGTCTTCGGATGCTTTGCAGCAGCCGTGTCTCCCCGTGAACCACGGCTGCTGCAAAGCATCCGAAACGTCGGGCTGAAGTTAAAAATCATTTTCAAAAAAGTTTAACTAATATATCGCGTTTTAAACCGTTAAAGTGTTTAATTTAAATGTAATTACTTACTTAACCACGTTAAGTGGTAAAATTAAAAAGTCATCCCATACTTAACTTAAAGGCTTAACACGAATATGAGTTTCATTGTAAATTCTAAGTACTCTCAGTTTTAACGACACAGCCTATTTGAAGATGTCAAAACGGAATATCATTCATGTTTACTGCGTGTTGGGGAAATTGTCAGTCTCGGTGAGAGTATGAATTCTAATTACTTTTCGACATCTCAAGAGTTCATTTGCATATTTAGACGTGTAAACTGTGTACATACATTCAGAAGCGTATTTCACATTAATAATTTTTATATTCCTTCTTACAGAGGATGATGACTTACTAAACGAGTAAATTTATGTCCTGAAAAATGTTAGGGCTTTTTAAAGTCATCTGTTCCCAGTACTGGGACTTATGTAACATGCAAGGATAGTTTGTTTTGATACACAGTTAGGGATTGGTGCAAACGTTGTTTTTTTATGACAGAGGAGGACAAATAAGCATGGGGTTTGCACTTGATGGTAGGTGTAATACCTCAGCCTATAGCATCTAAGCAAAATGTGCTGTTGACCTATTATGGCTTTGGATATTCGGTAATCCACAAACTGAACCGAAACGTGATTAAACTTCATCTGAGGACGATATTCTTATCAGAGACTTCGAGACGAAGTCTAACATGTTTCAGAAAAATTATAAATCGATTAGAAAAATTGTTGACCCACGGGGGCTTGTAACTACGATCCCTTGATTATTAGCCGTACATATATACCATTACACCAAAGAGCCCGTGAAAACAGCCCGTTCAGTAAAAAAATATGCAATTAATTCAAAATCTTCTCAAAGAACTCTATAACTACCACACAAATAAGTACATATTTTCTATCACGTTCATTTGTACCTCCAAGAAATGCAGTGTATGCAGTTTGTGTTATGGTGGCTAATATTAGTATAGGACGCTCGGACTGGGATTTTCGTAGAAAATCTATTTGGGATAGACAACCTCATAAAATAATATGGACGCCCATAAAAGGAGTTACTTATTTGCGTCGTATAATTTGAATTTAACACAGCTACGTCACTTTTCGTAAAATATACACATTAGGTACGAAAACCGGCAACTTATTCAAATGCCAACACTTCAGAATATAAATGCGCTTGATACTACGATATTAATTCTAAGTTAGTAGGTATCGTGTTATATTATTGCTTAGTTTTGCATTTGGGACTTGTCTACGACAAAAAGCGACTTTCGACACCCTTATATTCTAGAATGTAAAATAAAAATAGTTTTTTTTTTCTTTTTTCTAGCTAAAGTACTAAACGGACTATTTGAATTCATAATTATTGATAATGAGTAACAGTTTAGTGTTCACATTACTACACGCAGCGGACGTTTCACGTAATAATACTTGCCTGTAAAAGAACCGACTAATGAAATGGACACAGAATTGTGCTCGCCCAGTGCCCCACGGGGGAAGGGGGTAATCACTGTTTTATTATTTTCATACACAATAGCGTATACATACAAAAAGACAAACTTGTATACTTAGTTACTCTGTATATATCGCGAACAGTCTTTTTTTAATTTTCTTGAATGTACAGACAACCTATTTCTTTTGCTTTATAATAGTAAAGATAGCGTTTATCGCGTATCATTTAAAGCAGATTACATACAAACATCGCTAATATAACACATTGAGTAAACACGCTGCCAAGGACAATTGGTCAACGCGTACTAGAAACACGATTACTTACTGCTATTGATATTAAAGGCACTCGGTCCCCTTGTTTTTACTTCCCGTCCGGTTTCTTATTGCTTACGTCCTTGGCGTACGTCTTGTTTATAAAAACTGGCCTTTATTCGTATTATTGTTTTTATCTACGATAGCGTTAACGTTATTAAATAGAGACCGTAGTCAAGTTGTCAATTAAACAACAACAAATATGCAAAACTTAAAAGAAAAATTGCGATTGTCCTAGTATCACTGTAGTTTTGCGATAGAGTACTTCAGTACTTATATTCAAATATATAAATCCTATACATTTTGCTGGAGAATTTTTATCGTTGAACTTGGATAGGCCTGTATAAATATTATATTATTACATTTTAATTATTTAATTATGAGTTTGATATAAAGCACAGATTTGAATAATACAATTGTTACTATGGAGTAGCTTTTTATTAACCATTTCTCATGAATTGAATTACTTATTCCTTATGTGATCAATAAGAAAATTGCAGGAAGGTTATAGAAACATAGGATTTAGGCTAACATGTTCCTTAAGTAACTTCAGTTAACTAAATACAAAATCGAAGTCATAAAACTAAATGTATAAAGTATTTGCAAAAAATTTACGACCAAAGTAGAGACGCGTTGTACCTACTTCGTCTGATAAGATAACCTTGCCTTTCAATTTAGTTTCCTTTGCGACGCTTGTTACTGTAACGTGTCGACTGAAAGAATAATTACGTTCATACAACCGCCATATTTACTTCGTAGGAGCTCTATTGCAAATAATATAAGACTCTTTTAAATAAGTTGAAGGAGGCTTTTAGTAGGATAGAATACTTATGTTACTAAGCTTAGAATTACGAGTGTTGTTCAATTCAATGTCAGTTACACTGATCAATTACACAGGCAAGTATTCGTGGCCCTGTCTAACCGAAACTAAACACTAAACTAGAATTTAAAGCCTAGATCTGTTAAGCTACTTAGTGGACCAATGAGTAACCAAGGAGGAAATCGAATTTCAAATAAGATATATCGTATATCTAACTGATAAAGGATTATTTATCTTAAAATAACTATATCTATTTTTACTTCATAACTTATTCTATCTAGCACTCCCTTTATATTCTACGAGTACCTCATCTTCAAAAGGATCCTCAACGCGGGAAACCCGTTTCTGTTTATTTTCGCTGAACGAAAGCTTCCTCTTGAATAGCTTCATCTCTCTTATTGTGATAAAGGTTTGCGCTCCATGACCTCTCGCTTATACGTCTAATATTAATTCAAATTTCGGTATCAAATATTTGTGTCCTCAATTCAAACTTCACAGAACACTATGTATGCGAAATATGCACGGGTTCGCACTGAGCGCGTCATTCCGGTGTGGACATAATTTTGGAAGATTGCGCATGATCATGGACCAGAGGCACACAGACAGTGTGGTCGTATCGCGCGCCGGCCGCGCACTGTCTGTTCGTGGATTGCTACGCGTCACGCCGCGGACGTCACCTTCGAAAGACAACAACATCTCACCCCACCTACCTACTCGCCTCACCGACTTTCCTACTTCACCCGATCTTGCCATCAATCAACAGCGACACCCATTTAACCCTCTTTTGTTAACCCAGCGACGTTATTACCGAATCACAATCAAATGGTAAGCGATAGAGCGATGACAGAATGACAAATCGTTGTGTATCACGCTAATTTCGTATCTATTGTCAATGTACATTAGGCGTATTGATATAGCTAAGTACTTCTCTTTAGGCTATAATGTTTTTTCTTGTTAGATTTAAATAAAGTTATTTTAAATTTCAAATGTTATATTTTTATTTTCCTATATTATTTCAGAAGTGTAAAATAATAAGTAAATTATTATAAATGAAATAACAAACACTAACATAAAAAAATAACATAAACAAAATTAAAAACTCAATCCTCCAATAAACTCTTGGCTTTAAAACTCGAAACATCCTAAAATATTATTTGTGTAAAACTCTTGTTTTTATTAAATATACTGAATGAAATATCGATAAAAAGGTGACCTTTTTACGATGAAATGTATAGCGAGAGTTATGTAACATATATACTGGTATGATCCGACACTGTGAAGTCAATTACATGATTTCTGTGCATTAAAGGGAATACAACTTCCTCTGTTACTGTAAACAAAGTTCTAAAAGTAGAGACCTAACTGCCCTGTTTTCACACGTGTCAATCCTACAATTGTAAATTTACTACCAAAAGAAAACACGCTTTTATAGCTTAAGACATCTACATAATGTTTATAATTAAAAATGAGGTATGAAAAATGGTTTTATACGCAGACAACATAGCCGCCACCTTGGCCGGTTTTAAGCCCTTCTGTTGATTATGGTACCTATATGTTTTTTTAGTGATTCTGACGAAATGTACAAGTCTTAAAAAAAAAAACGTCTTTTCTTCAATTCAGACAGACAATTCCAGGCCAGTATTCATTTCCAGGTGCCAGAAGGCAAAATCAATGTAAATCTAAGTTAACAGACAAATGTACACTATAGTATAAAAGACATGACATCATCATTAAAAACTAAAGATTTTGCAACTTCATTATGCTCACTGTATAACCAGATATAAAGTTATGTGTCTTGCATTATATTTATGCAAATGCTATCTCCAATTTTATGTTCATTAACTTTCAATGCACTAATCATTAATCAAGTTTTAGACTTTTGTCTGTGTAGGAAGATCGTTCTTACAACAATTTTTAATTACATGCAACATAACTTTCTCTTTAATGCATTTCATCTGTGTGCGGAATAAATATTAGATTCAGTCTCGTTCTTGAAGTGATAACCTCTTATACAGTAAACCACTTCGTTACGTAACGCGTTACAGCACTACTCTGACATCCTGTTGGAATAATATAACAAAATATTCAATGCATATACAAATTTGTTATGAAATAAATATGATCCAATTTGTGGCTAACTTCTTGGAAAATGCAAGGTAAATAAACTTTTATTTTACTTGTTTAGAAATTAAACAGGAAACGGGGTAGAGTTATGCGGTATGAAGACGGTGTGAATAAAGCGTGTTTGTCCTGTAATTAACGTCTCGGAATCCTTGCCATAACTTTAGTTATCCCGTAACCGTACTCATTCTAGGATTTAACGAGTTCATGCTGCTAACTAAAAGGTACACTTTGAGTAGTTTGACTTTTATGATTAGGATCCTACTGCGGTATTCTTAATGGAACAATAAGCGACCCTGACCCCTGGGACCAATAATCCGGATATGTTCGTAAATTGTTTGCTTTTGGAATTTGTGGCGAGCTTACCGGATGTTTCGTTAGTTACAAAGTATCTCAGAATCTAGTAATGTATATAACATTTCATAATTATAAATGACATTAAAAACTCATTTAGTTGGTAATAAAGTACTCAGCTACCTAATATTGCCTTAAATGTTATATGACTGAGTTATTAGACAATTAATAAATAAATATATTATTGTATTTCATGAAAACTCTGTGGAAAATATTTTATGGAAATAAATATATAATATATTGAATAAAAAAAGGGCACACGCAGGTCACAAATTCACTACCAACTGCATGGTAGGAGGATTAATAAAGCAACCACTTGTTACGTATGCTCGTAGTTTTATTCCCACTTATGTCATGGATTTTTTTTCATTCTTGTATCATAATTTTACAATTTATATTAGCTCTCATTTGTAACTTCTCAATGTTAAAAATATTCTTACTAAAACACGCATTTTCTTTTAGAACAGCATTTATATGGAAAATCGACTCACGTTATTATGTAACCGAGCGAGAATTTCAGCAGAATTGGCTGGATCCGACATATGCACGGCATCTGACACCTGAAACAAGTGAGTTCTTGGTTATGAAAAGAAAATAAATTCTTTCTAAAAGAAAATATCCTCTATATTATATATATATATAAAACAAAGCATTCTTGATATAACTATTTTTTCCCCAAAAAAAAAAAAAAAGGGGGGCATTTGGGGGGGGGAAAGGATTTTGGGGGAGGGGGGTCAATACTTAGATTTAGTAAATACTGTATATTAATAAGAAGGCCGGCGCCGCGGGGCCTCGGCGGCCCCCGGGACCCCCAATTAAACCTTGGCACACAGTTAATCAAATAAAACGTTCTTGACTATAAATAGGTATTATTGGGGAAAAAAAAAAAAAAAAAAGGCCCCCCAACCCCGAGGGAAAAAAACCGGGCCCGGGGTTGGGGGGGGGGGGGGGGGGCCGGGGAGGGAACCCCGGGAAAAAAATTACCGTTTGGTTTGGGGCGGGAAACTAAAATCTTAAACTACAGACTTGAAACCGATCAATGAAACGGGCACATAAATATGTTTCTCCTATGTCTACGTTTGGTGAAACTGGATTTCACTACTAAGTTATTTTAATGATATTGTTAGATACGTAGATATAACTACGAACAAGTAAAATTTGCCAGCTCAGCGGCAGGGATGTTGTCTAGAGAACAAAGTAGGTCAATAGTTCCCTGCGGCAAACGCGACAATACTAGAAGCGTATTCGAAGCTACACTTTATTACTCCTAACTTAGAACTCCTAAGTTATATGCCCATTATCCTTCGACATTGGTCGACGTCGTTAGAAATAGGTGTTCATAAAATTGCATACAATTCATTGCGAATGTGAAAATTGGATCAAGGTAGTAAATTTGCCTGGCTACGGGCCAGTACAGCTAGATTGTGAATTAGCTTCTACAGTTCAAGAACAGGTCCCTATTCTTGTTAATGAAGTAGTGAAATTAAGAGGTGCTTAAAATAAATTTCTAGAAAAATAATCAAATAAACCATTTACGAAGTAAAATTTACTCCAAAACGTTGTTTACATATATTTCCTAACAGATAGAAAACGAACGTTTGTTACGCACACTTCAGTAATCAAAAGAATATTGAATACATACAACTTAAAAAAAACGGTTTGAAATGTGAATTGTATACCAACTACGGCCCGACGTTACAGGTGCTTTGCAACAATCGTGGTCGCGGCGAGACTGGTGCCGCGTAGTCACGTTTCGCGTTTTAAACCGTTAAATGTGTAATCGCGTAAGCTAGTACGTAATTCAACAGACAGCATTTCCATACAACATATAACAAGTCGTTTAATGAAAATAATATCACATTTAAAATTAACTGTATCACAGATGACATATAATATGGGTTCTTTGTAAAATATTCTGTCATTTTCCCCAGCGGTCGCGAAGATTTATACGTCAAAAGAGAAAGTGATAATCGAGCCGAAACTCGTAAAATGGGTTTTATCTGTTTATGCACTCACCTAAGGGCAATAATTTGTGGTTATTGTCTCCTGGATTATTTCCCGACATTTGTCGACAAATTGTGGTGCTTTATGGATGTAGAACAAATTGATGTCTGAAACTGTGCATTTAGCCATTTGTATGCGACGCCGGGAAATGGCACGGGGATTGTGTGAAAGTTTGTGGGTGTAATTCTAAATGCAGCTTTTGCTAACCTAAAGGGCCCGACACGAATAGAGCTAAACGGTTTAACGTGGAATGACGATTAAGAAATGTTTGTACATAGTAGGATTTTAGGATTTTGTTAGCTTTATTCTAAAATAATTTAAAGAGAAATACATAATTTCGGTTGGGAAGGTTAAAGAAGTCTGCTGCAGTAATTGTTCGTAAATAAAATCTATTAGTAAAACAGACACAGAAATATGCATGCCCATGCCTCGTGTAGAAGAAATGGAATGTCATATATTTATATAATAATATTTAATATCAAAAACATCAAAGTGTAATAGCAGATTGATTTTAATACTTATCATTTCAAGACAATCTCTTAAAAATAACCTTAATAATGTAGTAATTTAACTGAAACACTTTTAACGGTTTCAAACGCGAAATAACTTAATACGCCTAATATAAATAATCTTAAACGTGCTTTTGGACGTTTACCCGAGTTCCCGGTAGGTTTTAAGCCGTTAAAAGTAATTTATATAAATGTGTAATACTCGCGTAAACTACAGACAATACTTAAGTAGGTAATCAAAATATGTATAAATCACAACAAATTAATATATAAGGATATAAGTTAAAAAAAACTTACTATACGGAAACGGTTTTAGTTATATTATAGCATATGTTTGTTTATATTACATAGCGAGGGATTCCCAGAACTCGTGAAGGCGTTTTATTTCAGTGAACTGCAACTTTGATTTCAGAGAATTGTGCCATATCTGCTAGCTTCACTCGTTCTATCCAAGATTAGGTCAACCGCGATTGTGTCGTGGACGTAATTGGAGATTTTTCGGTGTTTGTGTCAAAAGACAAAGGGCACAGTGCCGCAATGCTGTAAAAATAAACTATGCACCACACCCTGCTGAGTCCGAGCAATCGACCTCATTTGTTCTTGATCGACTGCAGAACACCACTTAAATCCATGTTTATTAGGTCAATCAGGAAATGGCGGTTATTTTCATAGGCACTTTCTCAAAGCTTACGTACTCGCCGATCGGACAGAAAACATTCATTGATGAAAGAATAATGCTATGGGAGCGGTTACTGCATCGAGCTAATATCGAACCCAATTTTAGTTCGCATCCATCAAGGTGTTCGGGGTCGTGAAATGAGAAAGCAATTTAAGCGTTCAGTGGGTACCGGGGTACTATTAACTGTCAACCGGTTGAAGTATAATTTGCAAACACGTTATTAATTGTGAGACGAGGTGGTCTCCAGATCTATCGAGGAACCGCGGTTATGGCACGCTGCGCGGCTGACACACCAATTTCGTAAGTAAAGCTTGTGCTTAGAAACGTTAAAGTAATTAAGGTTAATACCAACCGATTTAACTTTAGTTATACTTGGTCTAATGTAGGGTGATAAGTTTGATATTTCGCACATGAAGTGCTGCATTTTGTTTTTGTACTTTTTGCAAATTAATTGTACTTTATTAACAAAAAGGTACCGATCTATTAGTAAATTGCCCTCCAAACGAATAACTATATAAAATGTAAACTAATTTTATAATCTATCTGTTTGAAAGTCCTTATCTCAGGAATTACGCTTTCGAATTAATGAAATTATTTGTGTTAGATAGACCATTAAAGAGGAAGGCTTTTACGCTATATAACTTCACGCGGTAGCTAATGGGATCTAAGAAATAATAAAAATGTGGAAAAACGGGTAAAATGGGGGAACCTTTGAGGACTTCCGTTACGTGCGCTGCGAAAACGGTTCTAGAAACCAAAAATTTATTGAAATAATGTTTCCGCTTTAAATGTTCTTCAAAAATGTCCGCGACGTTATATGTCTATTTTTTAAGGTTAACTTGCAAGAACGAGACGTGGACGACGTCGGGGGCAAAAGCTATAATTTATATAAGGTTTGCCAAAATACTTTATGATGCCCTAAATAACGGATACGGACAAAATCGCGGGTAATAGAAAAATGAGATTAGTAAGGAGTATATTTACGTTATAGCATATAAAAATATTAATCTATCTTTATATTTAAATCCTACTTTACTGATTGTAATTGCTTTTACATAATAAATCAATTCTTCTATTGCATATTATCATCCTATATGAAGTAAAGTATAACGCTCGTGTAAGCGTATAATTAAATACATTTCTTGCGCATGATAAGAAACTGCAAATTCTCTTTACATAATGAACACAAATAAAAAACCTTTTAAGCACCAGGTCTTGACGCCGACATCTCAATTGGATGACATCCTGATCTTGTGAAACTCGTGTAGGTTTACATTCTCTTAATTTTACACGCATTACGACTAACTGTGAAGGGATTGACCAAAATATTTTTATTATGCCTCGTGAAAGAGTGTGTCGCGTTACAAAATCAGGATGTGTGTTCACGGTTATTATAATCGGCCAATTTGGGAAATCTTTAATATCGGAGTGAAAAAAATAGCTTGTATTATGAAATAACAGTATTTAAGCAGATTATAACTAAAGTTGGTTTAGACATTATTGAACTGCCGCGTCAAATGGCACTGGTTATCTGTAATTGTGACTTCGAGTTCCCATAAAGGTAGATTTATAAATTTTTATATCAACTTTTATTTGTTTTGCGTTACTTATAACTTATATATACACGTTGATCTATGTTCAATTAATTGCCATTTATCACCCTTAAACAAACACTTCAAGTAATCCAGCAGCAAATATTGGATTGATCTATTGGCTTTAAACATATTATATCAGAAATATAATAATCATGGAATTTCCTACGCGGGGCTTGGGGCAAACTTATTTTTTGATATAAACTTAACAATTTATGTTCGGTCATTTGACAGTGTAACGTACACAGTCCAAATAAACCAAAAGTGTTTTTTTACGTGCGACATAATGATGGTGGCAAACAAGAATACAGTACAATAGATGAATGTAATTTTGTTATTTACTCAGCATTAACTCTGTACTATTTCACATGACAGATTGCACAAATTTTAGAAGAAATCATCTTTATAACTGCACTAGTTGATCCGGTTAACGTTGTTTTGTTACACATCACTTTACATTTTCACTTTAAATAACATATACTCTCACGGACGTTTTTTTAGATCATTTAATGAGGAATCATACGTTTACACATATGTATTGGTTTCTTGGACCGTTTTTACATGGCACGCTATGGAATATCCTTTTAGATGTTTCTTTTTCCCGCATATTCCACAGTTTCTTCGCTATCGCAGCTGTATAACATATACATATAGCCTAAAGCTTTTCTCGTTAAATGGTCTAAGCAACTTAACTCAACCAGTGGTTCCTGAGACTAGCGCGATTTACCTGACAAATTCTTCACCTTTATAATATTAGTATGATATAATGACAAAGT